TTCCAGACGATAAATAGTGACAGGCCCCAAGCATGTCTGGATATGATCAAATGTTAACGAAGTTACGCTGACATCTTACAGCACAATTCTATCCTTTTCACTAGTGACCGAGGAATACTGGAACGAGGTTGAAGAACAGGACAACCAACGCAATAACGGTAAATCCTACGTTGAATAAATCAAGAAATATCACCACCCTGGTTCCGTTTGTTCGAAGGTGGATAACGCTATGCACTGCATAAACCTCTATCCGGTGAATAGCATTATCAGCCCTTTGAACAACTGGGCCCTGAAGTTCTAAGTCTCGTTTCATACCAACTGTATGTTGATGTGACCCGAAATTTCGAGAAAACTATTTCAATCGAAAATGCAGGTATATCATGGTAACCTGGAACAAAATTAAGCATAGTCTACAATTGTGTACCAATTGCATGAATAGGGAAGTCTCGAAAAATGTCAAGAACATTTCAAATTAACGGGTATACTTTTTTGTATTAATGATACTGATGTGACGAATTCTGCATTTACTTTTGATTTTCACGGGTCTTATGTGCCAATTGCTCGGATGTATCACAATTTCTGTTAATTTTATTTTTTGACAGAAATAATTTGCTGGTTCAACAATAGGATCCTAAAAGTTGGTGAAAAACTGAGCAACAACTGTGTATGCAGAAAGTCTGGTTATATTGTGTGCCCGTAGAGTTTAAAAGGTAGGAAAAATGTTTGCATGTTTGGGCTCTTACTTGGTGTAGAAGATACAGTTGACGCAAAATTATTAATAGAGAACAAAACGACAAAAGAACGAAGAAAACAAACAAACAAAAAAAGATTAATGAGGCGGTGTACTATTATGACGTGTCCAGCGTCTTCTACACCAAGAAGGAGCCGATATGGCTGCTACATGTCACTAGAAAAAAAAAGTATTTTTTCTCACAGAAAATATAGCTTCCTTTCAGATTAAAGTTGTCTAAAAAGCCAATCTATGGGCGTGCAGCAAAATTGCAAAAAAAAGAAAAAAAAAATCGTGAAGGTAACTGATTACTTTCGATTACCTTTTACAATAGACTTGACGAGTATTGGTTTAGAAAGGATCAATTATTTTCGCCAAAGCCCAAGGATTACAATATTACTATGCTATATAGGTTCACTAAAGTGAATATAACATGTTTATTTGCGACGACGAATTTTGATCTTACATTTATTCCTTTTTTATCTTATATCTACAGCAACGGCTGGCGTTTATAAAGACGCTACTAACTGAAACACTGACGACGATGGTGCCACTAGAAAATCACTTTACCTGACTCAGTGGACAAACTGTTTTTCAAAACGGACATTTTCTGGCTACCTAATTTTATTTTTGGACGAGATAAACACTTGAAAGCACTGTCGCTTGACAAGAGTTTAGACGAGTTACGCGATCAGTTCTTTCGCATGATTTTTTCCGTGAATCTAACTTTGTATACTGTGACGAATAAAGAAATTGTATCTTATATTCATGAATGGTATAATTTGTTTATTTATTTTGAAAACTTAGGCCCATGCTACTGGTTGTTTGATTTATGGATTAAATAGTTAATTTTGCCCTCGTTCGTTTCATCTTTAGTCTCAGGTTTACCAATTCTGATATAAAAGCTTTAAAATTATTTCTTTCTTACGAAAGATACCGTTGAACAGGTTTTTATCGTGTCATAACTCATTAAGCAAACTTTAACTTAGGCGAGTTTTGATCAGCTAAACTTCCCAGTCTGTTTAATATTCGACTAGTTTTGGGTCATTTTTGACTTTGGCAATGAACCCCCCATTAAAATTTACAAATCTCTTGACTAGAGTGATCTTTTTTTTATTATTTTCTTCTTTACTTTTAGTTTTTTGTTAGTACAGGAGACTCCGGTCCTCTGACATCACCGACTTGGGAATATACACGCGAGCGACTCCTTGTCTCTTGTGATTCAACCAAATCATTCCCACGATGCAAATCACAGCCAGCGCAAGTAAAGGAAGAACCGCTGATGTAGTAGCATCTGAAATGAAAATAAAATTTTTTTTATTAGACATTGTTAGATCTAGATGAATAAGTTTACCAAGTAAAAAACAAGTAAAAAAATGTGTGGAAAAAGTGGAAATAAAGGATGTCAATATCAATAATGATAATAATGAAAGTGATGGTGATTATGATAATTAATCAGGATGAACGTTCTTGTCACAACATTTATCATTTTATCATTTAGGTCGGGTTTTCAAAGAGGTCCTACTTTCAAATTGGTTTAGAAACTGCACCAAAGTAAATTTTGAGATTTTGAAGACTGGCAGAAAACCGTATACAGGGCATAAAAAGATGAATTGAACAAAAGTGTCAAACGTAACACGTATACTGACTTTTAGAATTACGTCTGAAGTCAAGAGGCTATTTGAGTTCTTTAACTTTTTATCCCCTAACATTGGTATTCATATTCTCCACACTTGTTCTCGTTATATTTCCTATGACAGTGACAAGGAGAATTTGCTTGGGAATCAGGAGTTTCTTAAAATGGCGATCTTCTCCGTTATTCTGATGACCTCTTCTTTTGATTCAAGGAAGAAATCAAAAGCCAGTCACTGTTAAGGGTTAAAGGTTTAAAGTTGTTTTTATCTTGTTTTAGTGGTCCTCACTGCCAACTTGAAAGTTCCAGAATTATTTCACATTTTCATATTTCACGTTTACGAAAGCTGAAGAGAACAATCCGTCGCGTATACTTACCTTTTACAGTCTTTTGATTTCCTTTCGTTTCTTCCACGTCATCATCAAATATAAGAGGACCCTGCGTCAAACGGTACAACTTATCCTCATTGTTAACGTCTCGCTTTTTCTTGATCCTCTCAGACATCCTTGAGCGCATCTTCCGGGAAGATTTTAAAACTTAGCACCGTTTTCACAGGGAGATTCAGCACACTCGTACATATCTGTACGTAGAATTAGAGATCAGTTTGGTATTTAATGGTCAAATGGATTTCATGTTGTCTTGCGTCTATTCAGTCATAGATAATTTTCTGTGATCAGTTTGTTACTGTTAGTAAAGATCCACAGACGCGTAGAATCTGTTTGTTTTATACACTGAAGAAGTCAAAAACTGTTTATGGCGGCGTCATCCACGCGTCTGTCCTAGCTACAATGGATTCGTGCACCCACAAAACGTCTTTATCACCTTTTTTTTTTTTTGCAGGGAACAGACGACATAGGTTGGAGCTGAGAGAATCATCCTTTTCGCATCATCGAACGGACGCAGCAAAGCGTCAACAAAAACATAAATGATGAATTTTCTAGAATTTAAGCCAATAAGAGAAATAAACGCGCCTATGTTGCCAAACGATTATTTTATTTTATTATTTTATTTTATTTAGCTTCGCCAACCGGCAGGGACACCGCAACAGCTTGTGCCGATTACTGCGGGCCCAATAAACCCACCCATCCCACCCCAGTGGAGGACATCCATCACACAGTAATCTCGTGTGTGGGAAAATTAACGTCTCCTACCCCAACCCTGCAGGAGACGGGACCTCCATTTATTCGTCCCTATCCGAGAAGACTAGAATAT